TGACTCCCCCAGACACCCCCTCCCCCAGGGGTGCCTGGGCACCCAGCCTCCCCCTTACCCCTGGGGTTGGCAGCCCCTCCCAGATCCCCCTCCTCAGCTTGCTGCGGGGAGGGGGGCAACCCCGCCAACACCAGGGGTGTCACACCCGAAATCCTTCCCACACACACGTAACCCATCTCCCCCAGACTGCTGTGGATGCCGAGAGGGTGGGGGGGGAGCTGGTCTCCTGCCTGGGAAGACTCCAGCCCTGCCTGACCTCTCCCTTACCCACAGGTGGAGGTGGTGGAAGGCATCCTGCGCTGCCCAGACTCGGGGCGCGAGTTCCCCATCACCAAGGGGATCCCTAACATGCTGCTGGCTGAGGACGAGACCTGAAGGACTGGGGCGGGGGCAGGACGGGGTGGGTTTGCGTGGGGGTTGGGCTGGACTGTGTCTGTTTGCATCAATAAAGCTCAGTTGGGTTGAAGTGGAGAGCTGTGATGTACTGTCCCTGCCTCCACTTCCAACCCGGAGCCCCCCCAATGAAGACACAGCAGCCAGGGGTGTCCGAGATCTCCACGCTTTATTGGGGCTGGGGGGGGGATCCCGCCGCCGCCCCCGAGGTATTTAGCATATGTACATCTCCATAAATTAACCCAGGCCCCACCCCCAAGCCCTGGTGGGAGGGGACATGGGGATGACCCCCTCAGTCCAGATGGGGCTATTGCTATGTACAGAAGAGTTATTGCTTTGGGGGGGGGGGTCCCTGAGACATTCCCCAAGCTGGGGATAGAGGGCAGTCCTGGGGTCCCCAGGGGAGATCAGCCCTATCTCCCCCCTGCCAACAGTGCCCAGGGCTACTTATTGCTTTAAGGGGGGGACTATGGCTTCCAGGGGTTTGGGACTTGGCTTCCCAGCCCTGCCCCCAACAGAATCTGTCCTTCTGTCCAGCCCCCCAGGGACACAAGGACCCGTGGACCATGTACCCACATCTGCCTCCACCTGGGATGGGTGGCCTGGCCATGGGTCAGCCCTAAGGCTGTCTTTCTGTCTTGCCCCCGGATCCCTCTGTCAGTCCAGTCTGTCTGTGCACCCTGGTCTGGTCCAGTCCAACTGTCTTGCCTCTGCTCCCACCCAGTTGCCCGTGTGTCCATCCACTATCCCCCACTTTCCACCCCAGTCTGTCAGTCTGTCCATGTGTCCGTCCATCACCCCTACCCCTGCGCATCCGTGTCTGGCCTTCAATCCATCTGTCTGTCCAGCTCCTGTCCAATGGATCTGT